TATATATATATATATATATATATATATATATATATATATATACTCATTCCCCTGCATCCACACTTCCAAGCAGTTTAATGAAATGTAATATTCGACTGAAGACTTTCAGATTTTATGTAGCAGAAATAAAATAATGAATGGGCTAAAAGTTCATTTATATGAATACTTTACACTACCTCCAGAACGCTTCCTCTTCAATAAAGACATGCATGCATAACTTGATGAGGCAGATTGAAGTTGCAACAGATCTGGACAAGGACCATCAGGACCCTTTGACATGAGACGATACTTACCCCGAGCACGCTTCTGTGGTCTGCGAGATGTTCTTGCTACATCATTGCTTTCATGCTCGCTGTCACTGCCTTCCTACCAATTTACAGTCTAATATATATATATATATATATATATATATATATATATATATATACTCATTCCCCTGCATCCACACTTCCAAGCAGTTTAATGAAATGTAATATTCGACTGAAGACTTTCAGATTTTATGTATATATATATGAATAATGAATGGGCTAAAAGTTCATTTATATGAATACTTTACACTACCTCCAGAACGCTTACTCTTCAATAAAGACATGCATGCATAACTTGATGAGGCAGATTGAAGTTGCAACAGATCTGGACAAGGACCATCAGGACCCTTTGACATGAGACGATACTTACCCCGAGCACGCTTCTGTGGTCTGCGAGATGTTCTTGCTACATCATTGCTTTCATGCTCGCTGTCACTGCCTTCCTACCAATTTACAGTCTAATGTTAAACAAAGTATATATATAAATGTAAAAACAAAAGAATTTGTCCCTTTATAACACCAATGATACTCTAGCGACTGAAATTTTGCCATGCTTTAAGAAAGTTATGCATAAAAATATATGGATAGTGTCAGTTTTCGCAACCTTTGAAAACTCTCATGTAATTATGGTCTAGCACTTTGAAACCTCTTACCCAGAAATTTTGCAAGATACAAAACATCCTAAAAGCATTTGACTTGCTACTCTTAACCATCTACATTGCGTCCACTTGATGCATAGGCAAGAAACTAAAAACCATATCAGGCAATGTTTTTAGGGATTTTCAGTGTAAATCTGGATGAACAGAAAGTAATCGCAATTTGAAATGCCCATTGCTGATTATGAATGGTCGAGACTTTAATCCTTCCCCTTCAAAAAAGAAAAAGAAAATGAATAGAAAGAAAACACATCAGTATAGACTGTGCGATGACCAGACTCGTTCCCTTTTTCCCCCTATTTGGTGGCTTTCTTACCCTATTCAGCTCAGGCACTAATAGAGTTCCCACCAGCGTCCATGTTGAAAATAAAGACTGGTCCAAGAATATAAAATCACATTGTGTGCCAATATAATAGTCTTGAGGTTTGGATATGAACTGCTAGAAGGTCCATATTTTGCTTACCTGATTATGTAAGATAACACTTGTAACAAGAAAAACATGATCCAGAGTAGGAATCCAAGGTAAATTTTGCAACCAAAGACATGTCTAAGCAAATAATGAAAGATATGAAATCACACTGCGTGTCAATATTATAGTCTTCAGGTTAGGCAAAGAATTGTCGGTAAGGAGGTCCAAATTTTGCTCACTCGTTCATGTAAGATAACACTCATAATGAGAAAATACGATCCAGAGTAGGAATCAAAGGTAAATATTGCAACCAAAGGCATATCCAAGCAAATAATGGAAGATATGAAATCTCACCAGAATTTTGTAGTGGTCAGTCATCATAGCAATCAAACCAGCAGCAGTAGCAATTCCTTCCGGAAGCGAAAAATATGCCTGAAATTGCAAAACTGTGTTTAGCAGCAGTTTAAGTATATGTTTAGATGGTCATATGGCTCGATGATGGCTTAAACCTAACCAGTATTTAACAGCTACAATAATAACCCTCTATGAAACTGTATCAAGCTCTTACTGAAAACTAAAGGAGTGGGATACTCTTAAATATGAACCTAAAGGCCAAGTGGTGAGACTTGATGTATTGCTAGAGCAAAAAACCCCATACAATCTATGAGCGAACTTTGTATTCATCCAAGATCACATGAATTTAAAATTTAGACAAGTTGGGGATGTTAAAGGATTTCCTGAAGCAGCACAAAGTAATATATATACTGAAAGTTTAGATGATAGTCTAAGAATTTCTAAAATCAAAAATCAAAATCAAAATCAAAATTTATAAACTGATCAAGACATACCAGAAATTATTCGAGTGATGGACCAAAAGCGAGGCCTCATCGAGATCGTTGACCCGGATTAGGTTTAGGATCTTGTTGTGGAGGCTGAGTCGTTTGCCGGCGAGGGTGGAGAGGGGTTCGGGGACCTTAGGGGTGTTAGGATTTATAGGGGTTTTGGAGGGGATGCGCTGCTGTTGAGGCTGGCGGAGGAAGGAGAGGGGAGGTTCGATGCGGAGGCGGCGCTTGCGGCGGCGGCTCTCGGAAGCGGGCTCTTCGGGGGTGACGAAGGAGAGGAGGCGGGTGAAGGAGGGGAGGAGGCGCAGGGAGGGGATTAGGGTTGGGGTTTTGAGGTGGAAGAAGAGGGAAGAGAAGGATTGTGGATGATGAGGATAATAATAAGCATATTGATGACCATAATAATCATACCGGAGGAAATTCGTAACAGATGAAACGGTGAAGCTTTACGTATTCTGATTTGTGAGTAACGAAAATAAAAGGATAACTTTGTCATATTTACAATAGTTGAAGGGCAATTTAGGAATGAAAAAGTTTTTCTAGTATTCCCTCTTTTAAAGGGTAGATAGATATAAAGATAACTCCTCATCTTAACTATCTAAATCAAATAGATTAAAGTTGAAGCTCTCATGATGGTTTAAGTAAGTTAATCCATCTTCTTAGCCATTGCTAAGTGGCACAAGTTGCATTATAATTGCAACATACCTAAATAAAAAATCATACTTCAAAAATTTGAAAATTTATAAAATTTTCTAAATAACATAAAAATATAAAAATTCCATGAAATAAAAACTATTAAATAAAAGCAAATCAAAAAATAAAAAAATGTATAAACTTTATTTGTAACAAATTCCATAAATAAATACTTTTAAAATTTTAAACAAAATACAAAAATCACAAAAGTTTACAAAAACTTCCAATATATAATTAAAAAATTATAACTTACAAAATAATAAACTAAATTTTAAACCATACTAATAATTTTTAAACTTAAAAACATGTACAAATATAATGATAAAATTATACATTTTTTAAAAACATAGACTTTTTTGAAACTATATAAAAAAATTAAAAAATTTAAACAATACACAAGTCAAAAAAAGAAAATTATAAATTTGAAAAAAGTTTTTTTATAAAATATATTTAGAAAAATAAAATTTATAATAATTTGTTGTTGTACAATAATCAAATTTCTCATCAAAAATACTTTTTTGAAAAGTCCATAAATACCTTTTAGAAAATACATTTTTCCAAAAAATAAGGAAGCGTTATTTTTCTAAAATAGGAAAAATAATAAGAGATAAAAGAGAAAATATACCTTGATAGCATATTTTACATCTTATGAATATTGGTAAGCAAATGGTGGGTGTAGTTAGTTTTGACTATTTTTAACCAGACCAAATCAAACTGAAGTAGATTCAAAACTAAACCGAACTAAATTGAATCGCTTCAGTGCGGTTCAGTTCGGTTTGTTCTGTTTGGTCATTTATAAGAATACACCTAAAATATAATACTCTTACTCTTTCAAACCTCTTACTCATCTTTATATTCTGATTGGAAAAGTAAATTCACCAAATCAACTACTTTACAAACTAAAGTTTAACATTTATCAAGTAAAATATATAAAAATATTAGTGTAAATTATCTTCACCTAGAAGTGAAAATTTTTAAACATTTATATTAAGATCGGTTGGTTTGATTATTTTGGTAGGTGACGTGAAAATTTTTAAACACTTATGTTAAGATCTGTCGGTTTAAAATGGTCGGTTTGATTATTTTGGTTTCAAATATTCCAAAACCAAACTGATCCAAAGTCTTTCTAAAACCAAACTGAACCGTTGAATTTTAGTCAGTTTGGTCGGTTTATTCAGTTTGCACTAATTAGTGATTACCCCTACTTATGAATGGAATATACTTTAATGTGGATCCTCTCTAATTAGGTGTTGATTAGAGAGAGTATGATTACACAAACTTTCAACATCCATTTCAATTTCAAGGGATGAGAAGAGGTCATGTAAGCTGTCCTTTCTCATATATTAATGGCTTCAAAATAGTAGTTTTTAATAATTTACAATTTTATCCATAAAAATTAGCATGGACGATGAAGATTGGAGTAATTGAATTTTTACGATTACCACCTAATTAGAGAGGATCCAAATCTAATATGTTTATTTTCTGATTGTACAATTTTGATGTGTTGTGAAAATAGTATCAAGATTGCAAGTGTATAATCAAGTTATAGTATAGATATAATATCGATCCTACAAGGAAGGTGTATAAAAAAATTCTAAAATTGGTTCCTAGACTTATGTGTGATCAAAGAGGAGTGAAAGTGTAAAGATATGGGGAGTGTGTGATTATTTACAAATAAAAGAAAAATAGAACAAGAGGGGAGGAAGAGAGTGAACAGAAAAAAAATTTATCAAGGAGGAGAAAAAATGAAAATAGAAAAAACAACAAAATCAAGAAGAGAAAAACTCGAAAAGAGGAAAATTCAAGAAGAGAAAAATTCAAGAAGTGAAAAATTAGAATAAGTAAAAGATGGAGGAAATCAAGTAAATAAGATAGAAATGTAGAATTGAATTCACTAGTTTATTTCATTTAGGATTTATAAACTACTCTTATTTAATCATATTTTATTTTAGATTTATTAAGCATAAATCATCAACCCACTTAAGAAAAGCATACCTATCAAATTATCATCTAAGAAAAATCAACATTCATGAAAATAATAAGCAACTATATAGTGATTCTAGAATTTATAAGTATAACCTATCAAACCCCTCAAGATAAGTATAGATTATCAAATTTTTCTTCTACCAATTGGTTCTCTACTTGATTATCTTAAACATGATAATTTTCAGCACAAGAGATCAATCTATAAATCATAAAAGAAATCAAACTACTTTTATACAATTCTATAATTCTTACAAGATTTAGTTACACATTAAAAAAAAGAAAATAAAATCTAGATTAGAAGGCATAAAAGAAAGAGTATAAAAATTAAAACTAGCTGCTAAAGTAAGAACAAGAATAAGGAAATAAAAATCTAAATTATGAGCATAAAGAAAATCGAACTAATAAAAATAATAGAGCATAAAAGTGGATCTATACTGTTGACCCTATAGTTTTGATGATGATTTGACAAACAATTTATTACTAATAAGTTTTTCTAGTGTTT